CAGGATTTTTTAAAATACGTTGAAGATGTTCAATTAATGAGAAATAATAAACTCTTGTAGAATTTTTAGTTGTAGATGGTATATTCCGAGTATTAATTGGAATATTATGACTTTTGATCTGCATTAAAGGTAATTTTTCATGGTATTTTTTAAGACTTTGTAAATTAAAAATTAGATGACTTTTTTCAAATTGCGAATGAATTAAAATCTGAATCAAGTATTGATAAGCAGCTGTCGCTAAGAATATATATATAATTAAAAGTAAGTTAAAAATAATTAAAAGTAAATTAAATATAATTAAAAATAAGTTAAATATAATTAAAAATAAGTTAAATATAATTAAAATTTATAAAAATACTTACATATCATATGCTTTGTAGTCCACACAAACATCGCCATTGTTGTAAAATTTTCAAAAGTACCAAACTGGCATTCTTGATTCCATTTTAAATCAAAATTCGGTTCATCAAATATTTCTGACAAATTTTCAGCTTCATTATCTGTATCTTGACTTCTTGAATCAGTATTACAACTTTCATTTTCGTATTGAATATTATTTAAGCTCAAACTATCCCAATCATCACTATTAAATTCATCATCGTCAAACTGTAAATTATTAATATTCTCATTAATACTAAACTCATAATCATCAAATTGCTCATTTTCATACTGCCAACTTTGAGATTCATTATATGAATGTATTGAAGAATTTTTATCATTATCAAAAGATAACTTTTTTGAAGTTTTAGGTGCTCTTAAACGAAATTGCGAAGTTTCAAATTTATCAAATTGAGAAAGTCTATGTTGCAACATTAAAAGATCAGTTGAATAATTATTTATTATTATATATATTATCAAAAATTTTATTGCTAGTATTATGTAATACTAAAAGTTAAAATATAAGTATAAATTCATTTCATAATTAAATTAATTATTAAAAGCCAAAATGAAAAAGAAACTTAATACTAAAGGAGCAAAAAGAAAAGAAATTATTAGTAAGCAGTTTTAATAATAAATTTTGGCAGTAATAATAATAAAAATAATTATAATAATAATTCTTTTTAGATCCATCTTCAGAAGATGAAGTTTCTAAATCAAATACTATGTCTAAAAAATATTTAAAAAAAACAACTAATGAAAGTAGTAATATTATTGCAAAATTTTTATTTATTTATTTTAATTAAATAATTTTTTTATTTTTTTAGAAAAATCTAATTCTACTCGTGTTCTATCTAAACAAATTAATTTAAATAACATGGCACCAACTAATAATATGTCTTGGCCATATCGACAAAATCAAGACCTATATACATCAGCAACTTGTTCGAATTATTCAAAACCATTGCATACTATTAATCCAACATTGACTTATAATTCAGATTATATTCAAACTAATGCTAATAACTCAATTAAATCTAATTTTTTAAATCAAAATACAGCTTATAACACTATAATGTCAAACAAAAATACAAACGAATTACAAGCTTTACCTTCATTTTATGAACATAGATCTGTAACACCTATACTAGATGAACGACATAGAAATTCATCACAAATATCTACTATGTCGGATTAACATTCTTTAATGGGTTATGATTTAATAAGTAATCAAGATCAAGAATCTTTTGAAGCTCAACAAAATTCTTGTAATAAAAAAATTTCAAGACCTACTACATCATTTCAATGTACATTATATTCACCAACCAATTCTCATGATACTAATACTTGGGAATCTAACAATAATTCTTGTAACGAAAAGATTTCAAGACCTACTACATTATTTCAATATACATCATATTTACCAACTAATTCTTATGATACTAATACTTGGGAATCTAATAATAATTCTTGCAATGAAAAGATTTCAAGATCTGCTACATCATTTCAATGTACATCATATTCACCAACCAATTCTCATGATACTAATACTTGGGAATCTAATAATAATTCTTGTAACAAAAAGATTTCAAGATCTACTATATCATTTCAACATACATCATATTCACTAACCAATTCTCATGATACTAATACTTGGGAATCTAACAAAAATGAACAAAATTATCATAGTCAAAATAAAGAAAAAGTTTCAAATATAGATACACAATTTCAATCCACATCATCATATTCACCAGCAAATTCTTCTAATGCGAATATTTGGAAACCTAATACCAATTTACAAAAGTTAAATTTTTTAGATGAAAATTCATTAGTTAATTGGTTATCTACACGACCTGATTTAATTGCTCAAGCACAAAGTTTATTAACAGCTTCTTTGCCACCTAAGGTTTGTTTATTTATCTATATTCTAGTAATAAATTTAAATAATAATAATTTACAATTAAAATTTTATTTTAAAACTATATTAGACTGAAGTTAGTATTTCAGAACAATCTGATAAAGAAACTATTATAAATCTAGTTATGGAGCAATGCAAGCTTCTATTTTTACGTACAAGAAATCCTACTAAGAAAATACGTGAAACATTAATCAAGAAAATTACTCCATCAACTGATTTTGTATCTCGAGAATTTAAAGTGCTAAGCAAAAAAGCATGTGAATACTTTGATAATTTCCGACATACATTTAACAAAGATATGGCAGCTCTTGCTAGAGACTTGCTAGTTAAAAATAGGTAAATACAATTTATTTTTATATAATAGTAATTTTTTTTTTAATATATAAAAATTATTTATGTAGTGATCCAACAATTGAAAATATTGAGCAATTTGTTGCTAGTAAAGTTTGGTGACAGAAGCTTTACAAATATCTCGATACTAGTGACTTCACTGAATTTAAAAAATCTCCATCATCACTCAAGTCTCTTGAAAAATTTATCGCTAAAAGCTTAAAGATTCATGTTAAATATTTAATTGCAACTCATAATAAGGAAAAACTATCCTATTGCGAAAATGTCTTGAAAAAGATTAAAACACTTGATCAACTTACTTTTCATTTAACTATTCCATCAGCAAGTCGACGCAATTATGCAAATGAATTGGATCTTGATCAAGCTAATACAGAATTATCTTCGGATGAATAACAGTTTGTTTTTATAAACATTCCAAACATTTATACTAATTATAAATTAGCGAGTTTATGTATTAAAATTAATCACCAAATTTCAAAATTATGTAAGCAAAAATTTCTTCGATTTATCTTCTAAATGAAATAAGTTACAATTATAAAGAAACCTTTCTTATCAAATAAATTAAGAAATCCAGTAATCACTTTGTTCACGTGATCAGTATCCAATTCGATTAAAAATTCTTCACTTCGTTTAATAATATTACAACCTTTTCTTTTTTTGAACTTTATTTTATGTATCCAGTTGTAATGATAATCTCATTATTCTCTCATTGATCATTAAATTGCCTTGCTGCACCAATATCAAAGCATTGAAAGCTATTACCAAACCTTTCACTTTGTGACAATTTGAGCCAAATTAGTGCACTCTCGAGTTTTTTCTCTATTAATAGTTTAATGATATTTAGCATATAAATTTTTTAAAGTTATAAAGCCTAATGCAGTAGCATTTCAACTTTGTCGCTTTTGACTTTATTTGCATAACATAATACATTTTATTTTACTCGAATAGCTTTGAATTTCTCTAAAGCAATTTTGATCCTTACACTAGCATTATAAAATTCCGCAAAATGCTTTTATCTATTGATAGAATTTATAAAAATTTTAAGCTAAGCATGATAATTATTGAAGGCCTAATAAATTTATTTATAATTATATAGTAAAAGTCTAGTAAGAACCTATATCTGTAATTCAATATGAAAATTTTTTTAATTATGCTTATTTTATCATATAATACTTATTAATTTTGCTAAATATACCCTTTTTAAGGCTAACGCAAAAATGAACGATTTTAGCAAAGAATATTACCATTATTACTTTAATTTTAGCATCATTATTAATTTCGCTAAGTGACAAATTAGCATTTAATTTATAGTTGACAGGACTTGTAATAGCTCTATATTGGAACTTCGAAGGAGGCATATCATAGTAATAAATAAAGCAATTGCTAAAGGAAGTATAATATATCGCAAAATTTCCCTCAATGTCATTTTTGATGCTTCAGGATCACCAGGCTTATAGTGCTTTGCGGTTGATGTAAATAGCCATTGGATAACATTACTAATAGCTACATATAACCCAAGTCCAAACTGGCTGTAATTTGAGATTACAAAAGCTGTGATAACCAATTAATTGCTTGCAAGGAAATGAGGCGTATTATTGCGCTGGTAACTCCATAATAAAAGAACCATTGACGCATAAGCCCATCTATCTATCAACCAATAACCCAAAGATTGGCCAAAAGGCACCAAAAATGAGCAAAATAAAAGTAAATCACTGTAGTACAATTAATTGTAAACTCATCCAGTTTTTCCACTTGGTATAGATCGTATTTGATTCTTAAATTCTAAAACTTATTTAATTAACATAAAAGTTCAAATTGTTAATAGCAATAAAAGATATATAACTTGAACTATAGTTTGCTTAGTTAACTACAGAACTATAATTTGTATAGTTTTAATAGTTCTTTACAGTTATCTGTGTGAATTACCAATCAACTATTCAGACTATACAGACTATAGTTCTGTAGTAGTTCTGTAGTAAACTATGCAAACTATGTGGATTGCCGATCAACTATTCGAAACTATGAGATGGGATTGTCAATTCGTCAGAATACGGATTCAATTTTGTGTAATCTATATCATACGGATTTGAGCAATTCGCATCACTAGGCATACGGTCCCACACGGTCCACCGAATCCGTACCAACTCGGGTCATACCTGTACAAACCCGGATCTTGACAAAGGCCCGTGCCTATCCGAAACTAACCCGTGCTGATCCGGTGCATTTTCTTATAGGGTGTAGAAAGTCATCAGGTAGTTCCTTGCCCAAATTCTAGTATACTAAAATAATTTATTTTTTTATTTTTTTTTGCCTTTAATTCTAATACGTTAGTATTATGTTGATTAATTATCTATGCACCCGAATATGCCGGGCATCCATTTCTTATATTTGTTATTTGCTAATTTTCATTTAAATTAGCCAGCCAATGAATGCCTACATTCTTATAAATAATTGGTTGATTTTTAGCCAATTTTTTAGCCGATATAAGAGAATCGATTCTAGCACGTCTTTTATTGACCGGCCCGGCCGTTGGGCCGGGGCCAGCCCGTATTGCTAACTATAATCTACTTGAAATTAAGAATCTCAAAGCTTTCCGGACATCGTCATGATACTACACCTTTCTTCAAACTGCTAGAAGCTCAAATAATGCTAAAATTTAGATTCAATAATTTGTATATAATGATAAATTACTATAAGAATCGAACTTTTAATTTCCAAAATAAGGTAGCTGCGCAATGTAGTTGCGCTAAAACTAGAAACAGATGAACCAATAAATTATATTCAAAGTTTGAAAAAGCACAGAATTATATAATTACTAGGTTATGCATTGTGGTGTATGCCATAATTAAATCTTGAATGCTGTAAAGACAGTAAACATTCCGTGCTGTAATATTGTCATATTGCCATAACTGTCTATCAACCCTACTTTTTATTCAAATTGTAAAACTTTCTTAAAATTAATATATAACAATACCACTTTCAAGTTTTATTGGGCCTTTATATTTCCGTAAATGTCTATTAACCCTACTTTTTTTTTTAAATTGGTTAACTTTCTTAAATAACGATAAATATTAAATATACTATAATATCACTTTCAATTTTGATTGGACATTTTCAATTTATTAATGCCCCAATATTTCATTGTTTCCTTCTAATTTTTTATCGCATCTTCCCATTTTTTTCATTACAGTATTTCAGCAATACAGCAAGCATTACGACATAAAAGCATTATACAATGCGTTTATATAGAATTACAGACATTGCAGTTTACGGTTTTACAGAAAATTGATCACTATCTTAACCTAAAAAATAAAATCACACAAAAGAACTCTGGCGTATTTCACCAAGCAATTCCGAAAGTTCACATCAAATTATAGAGGAAGATACATGAATATAAAGATCCGATCCGCTATCCGTTTTTACAATTAAACCAGTGCAGTGGATATTCGGATCGCATCTACATGATCATACTGACTAACCAAAAACAGGAATTGCAAACACACGGAGATGTAAATAATTCACCATTTTAATTCTTGGTAAACATATAACATAAGGTAGCTGCGCGACGCTGTCACGCGAAACCAGTAACATGAATTTATGAATTAACTCGGTTAAGTAATTTGAATATGATGCAAATTACCTAAAAATCCAAACTGCTACTCCTTATACATGTACGTATATACATATTTCAAATTTCGCAAACCAATACTTGCACTACATATATTATGCATAAGTTAATTATTGTTTTACGAAAAAAAATCAATGATTTCTGATTTCTGATTTCTTAAATATTTTTGCAGGAATAGAAGGTGAAAATTCATTGTTTTGTAACATATTTGCTAAGTATCTTTTGTAGAAATAGAATTAGCACATTCATCATGGTGTAAAAAATTCGATTATATTAAATTTTGTTTCTTTTTTAGCCAATAAAATTTACTATCGCATGATGAGCAAGAAGAAAATTTAAAAGTTGTACCAAATTCATCTTATAAGAATTATTACATGATTCTAAAAATTTAACTTGTTTATTATTGAAAGAATCATGAAATTTCAAAGTAAAAGTATAAGGAAGTTTAGTATAATTTTTTTGTTCAAAATACTTTTCAGTTATAATAAGAGGATTAAATCTATTATAGATGACACCTCCGGCAAACTTTCGTGATCACTTAGCTGTTGAGAAAGTGGTGACTAATGGTTTTACGGAAAAACTATCTAATCAACTAATAACACACACTAAATCAATCCAAATAACGTCCAAGACTCCTAACCCTTGAGGTGGAAGGCAGAGTAGAAGCGTGGAAAGACTTGGTCCGAGGTTCAAGGCTTCTGAGTCTTGTTGCGTGTATTTGGAGTCAAGATAAGTATATACTTGAATTCTATTTACACTCTTTGTATTATATGCTTCGATGAGTTGTTAAAGAAGACCCCTCCTTTAGACTTTAGTGTACTGGGTTACAATGGTCAATTACAATCGTTAAGAGTCTTAACGATTGTCACCTGGTCACGTGGTTATGAAGTTGGATTTACGATATTTACGATTGATCGACGTAAATAGCAAGAATGACGAAACTAATCAGTACTCTCTTTCTCTTACTCTTACGAAAGAATTATCGATACGATTAAAATTACGGGTACAAGAATGTACGAAGAATGACTTTTGTTACGAACGATTTTTATACCAGTACGATCACGTTTCTTGTGTAACATGAAATGTGTATAGGGATGGTTTCCTTCAACTTTTTTGATGTCGCTTATGCGGAAT